GAGGGGGGGGAGGGGATGGGGGGGCTCTGGTGAATCAATGACAGTTTATTTCTCTCCCACGAGCTCCTTGTCTGACTTTGTGAAAAGAGTGAAGGTTGGAGAGGAACTCTCATCTCATTTCCACCTCACAGCAGAGAGAATGCATGGAGGGTTGGGGGTTGTGAAAAGGGTACGTGAAGGGAAGTACACATATATCTACAGTGAAGTCACAGATTATGCAAATCCATCTCAATTGTTGCTACTTTCTTGTCTCTCTAGCCATTCTGTGAAACACGTACTAACTTTTCCACATACTTGCAGGGAGGGTGGAACACCTGCCACTGGAACAGCCCAGCTCCTCTTTCTTAGTATACAGCCCTGCAAATTGTGATATGATCCTAGATGCCTAATTTGTTTTCAGATTAGAATAATTTCAGATACCTTAGCGTGGAGCTGCTGGTCTCTAATGTGAGAAATTTATTCTATTAACATTCACTTTTACATTTTTCTGTTTTGAAGGTTGCTGATTAAATTGCCAGAGCTGAACTACCAGATCAGAGTAAAAGCAACTATTGACAAGTAAGAAACTTTAAAGTGAAAATATTCTCTCTCTCCCTACAGAGATGACACCGGTTTTTCAATTACTACCCTATCTGATTTAGAAGTTGCTCTAAAAAGGAAAAGAAATTAAAAAAAAAAACCCCACAACGAAAAACCCCAGATAAAACAAACAAAAAAAAAAACCAATTAAAACATCAGGGTAATACTTTTTTTTTTTTTAATGTGGAAGATATCTTTGTGGGGTTTTTTTGTTTGTTTGGTTGGTTTTTTTACAGAAAAACCTGCTATGTCTAATTGATATTTTCAAATTGGAGGCAAGAAGTCCATTTAAAATTTTTTTCAAGACTTAGATAAAATTCATCAGTCTGAAACAGCAGCATCACATGAAAAAAATTAAATCAAACTGTATTGCATTTATGGGATAGTTAGCTTTGAAATATCACTGCTCTCTGCTTGCATTAATAGGCCCAGTACCTTCAATGCAGCTGCTCCAAGTAGTACATGAAGTTTATGCTTGAAAAGCTAGTGCTGTAGTTAGTAACTCTGGCAGCTTACAGAGTGTTACCCCTGCCTGAAATTAAGACTGCTACATAAACTCCTCCTTTCTAAGGTGTTTGGTTCTCCTTTATGTTCCCATTATTTTTACAGCAGTCCCAGGTGAACTGGATCCCCAGCTTCTTTGATTATAGTTTCCCGAGCAAAAACCATCTCAGATCCTGTCTATACTATGTTTGCAAAAACAGAGCTAATGCTGTCTGGTGTATTTTGATTTGAGTTGATGCATCTTCTCTCAGAAATGTGGATTATTTTGAGCAATACCCACTACTGTAGAGCAAGCTTGGTTATAGATAAGTCAGGGCACCCTAGCATGATAAAACATGAGGCAGAAGACTTGCTGTCAAGGTATGATTTCAAAATCCAAGGGTGATTCAAGTCCTCACCGCCCACCATCCCCAGCCACAGGTACCAGCTACCTCCCTTTTTCTGGCTGTTGTGCTTCTGCAGGCCCCTAAAAAACACCTTGATCACATGGACATAGATATTGGCCCAAAAGAAGGAAGGAAAATACCCAGTGAGGAAGGAGCAGGAGGGAAGCCAGGACTGTTTCTCTCAAAAGCTGTGTGCTGTCGATTTGCTGCTGTGCACATGTTCTCCCAGTACACCAAGAGCTATCTGCACAGGCTTGTATTGTCCCAGAACACAGGCATGCAGGCAACGATAGTACTGCAGCTTTGCATACCCAGATATCATTCCAACGGCAGGAAAAAAGCTGGATGAAATAGACTTTTGCATCTAGCCAGATGCAAGAAGTATAACGGGACAATACAAATTTCCGTTCTTTAGTTTAAAAATCGCAGTTGTATTAGCAATACAAATTAACTTTGAAAAAGCAAAATCTACTGTCTCAAGATACATTTCTCAGTACAAGTTATGGCTTACACATTTGCTGATTCACAATCTGTTTCTTCCTCCCTGCCCCTCTTCTATTGTAGGAATGTTTCAACCGTAAGGTAAGAAAATAAAATAGCATATTTCTTAAATTATCCAGTATGATATTATTTGAGTATGTAAGTGTAATGTCCTCCACAGTAATCGTAGATTCGTTCTGTGTGGAACACATGTGAAAGCAATGAACATGGATGAATCTGCAAACGGAAGCCTATCAGTTGAATTTCGACATTTGGTAAGTTTGACTGCTTTTATCCTGTTGTGTACCCCTGGTAAAGAAATAAAAGCTTCTTTAAAAACTATGCAGGGAGAAATGTATTACTCTCAAGTCTACACTCATTTTCTTTTTCCTTATACAAAGTTTACTCCTAGAACCTCTTTATCCCATTCCGTAGTTTATCCATTTCATAAAATAAGACTATATAGAAATGACAAAGCAAACCCTATTTAATGCCAGAAAAGGAAAACACTAATCATGCTGAATCACACAGCTTCTCAGAAACTGAGGTTTTTTTAAAACAAAACAAAACAAAACAAAAACCAAACAAGCAAAAGAATAAACCCAAACCCAAACCACACCACCGTTGTCTAGGGGAAATGCATAATTCAGTGCTTTAGATCTGGTTGAAATAAATGCCTACCATAACTCTTTTGAGAGACTATCGTACTGCTTCTTAACTCTCTAATATCCCAGTGAGTCATCCTTTCTGACTAGACTCCCTCACCTATGGTATTTTTTTTGGCTTAACCACAGAGGAGGCGCAGTGTAGTTTTGCAAAAGGAGATGGAGATTGACAGTTTTGAGTGCTTTTTTGTATCACACACTTTGCAAGCACCCTCATTAATGCTTTGTTACATTAACTTAGTTTCTTAAAAAATTCTTTAAAAATATCAAACCACTATTCACTGAGTAGACGTTTCAAGGCATAGTGTCAGATCATTCATTACAGCCTATTTCTGTATTGTAAATAAAATCTTATTATACTAAAAACATCATGGTTACAAATTATATTTTTTCATATGTACTTCCGTCTATAGTTTCTTTGGCACATAAATATTGTTTTGCTTTATACAGCAACCCAAAGAAATGAAATCAAGTGCTGGAAGCAAAGGAAATGAGGTTTGTGCATTTATTTTACATGTTATTTTTGATTGCTCACAAGTATTTCAGACTGGATTTTATTTAAATCAAGGAGGAACGGTATGGTTTTAGATTTTGAAATATGTATTATACTAACTATAGGACCAAATTATCATATGATAGTATAACTACAATAAGAACTTCTCATAGAAATTTTAATTACGTGCCTTAAGTTTGTATATTAAAAAAGTTCCAATAGAAGGTAGGAAGTAATAATCTGAATGTATGCATTCCTCTTTACAGCTGCCTTTTTGGTCATTTACGTTTTGAAAAAAGTAAGCTTTTTGAGTTTTTTGTTGAAACAATTTTTCCTATAGGAACGGTTCTTTAATTCTTTAAATATATATTCTGTTGGCCAAGTTTACAGCTGAAGTAAGGATATAATTATATTTGCATCAAAGAAGTTTGCTTGCCTCAACCAGGACCAGAAGCGTGCTTAGTTTACCAATACTCATCCGAATCCGGGCATAGGTTCCCCTCTCGTGGCGACACTATGACATGTCAGCCCTAACAAACCAGCAGGTTCTTTGCAGTACCCAGATCTCAGAGACATGCATATACCGCCTGGCACGTCAGGTGAAAAGGTACTGCAAGTGCTGGCTTCCTAGCAGAGGAGCTTAAAATCCATACATTCTTGCTTTGTGGAGAACAGAAGTCAGAAGTATTAACATTGGCGCTAATCCGCACCCAGAACACCGTGCCGCTGCGTCCACCTGTATCATAGGGCACTCCTGCCATTCATGTGTGCCATTCCTCCAGCACCACTTGCATCCAGACCACCAGTGCTTCTTCCCCTGCCCAGCTCCTCACCAGCTGCACACCTCTACCCTACCTCCTTCTTTCTCGGCTCCGGCTTCCTACAAACCGGAATTCCCCCAAGTGCCGCGGGGGTCACAGACAAAATCAAAATCACAGGCAAGAAAGTGGCCACCTTCATTCCTTCACCTTCTGCATCACTGGCAGGAGGGGAAAGGAGAAACACCCTGGCAGGGGAGAAGGCAGGTTATCCTCATCCAGCAACTGGAGGCAGTAGGCAGGGAGGGGAAAGGACACACAAACTCTAGGGTGGCCATGGACCATCACCATAAATTTAGCATTGCTATTTAATTTATTAGCAAAAATCTGCAGATAAGTCTGACTGAAGCAAGAGCCAGAAGCTTGTAGCCAATGATGGCTTCTGACAATGCTACCAGAGCAATTAGTGTCTCCCAAGGTAACTGAAGTCCTAAGATGCTTCTATGAATGCCACCTACTTACCTAGGAAATGAAGTAACCTGTACTGGTTTAAGGTATGTCCACACTAGCGTAACTTTTTTGCATAGTAGAAGCACTGAGGGTAAAGTTGTATTGGCGTTTTTTGAAAAAATAAAAAATTAATAAAAATCACTCCTGTCCCAGCCCATAGATGTAGCTGTACAAGCACAAAAGTTACTGCAAGTCGTCTTTAAGTACAAAGCAAAGGTATGATCAGCATGGAGAATTTTAACCGGAAACCTGAAGCAGAAGATACTTCTGCACACTTTACACAGTGTTTCTGAACAGAATAACTTGCAACCTGATTAGCAAGACTGAAACTCCAGGCTCACCTCCCAGTTACTGTGCTACTTACAAAGTCATTTCCATCAAGACAAGAAAATGCAAAAATGTGGGTGTAAAAATGCTCATGCTCTACTTTGGTAGCATTTTACTCCCACTTTCACACATCGTGCCTTTCTAACTATATAAAGCATAGGGCTGTGGAGAATTAGGACAGCTGAGCTGTGACATGGTTCACTGCTAACCAGTTGCCTCAAACAGACGTTAAGTTGGTCAAATCACAGTCTGTGAAGTCATTAGCACGAACAAGGTTTGTTTTTTTTCTTAACAGCAGCCACAATAATTCAAAACCCTGATTTGTTACAGGATGTTTTAATAAGCTGAGAGTGTAGTTGTTAGGTATGACTTGCCTCATAAAAAAAAAGTGGGAGATCTCTGCATTTGAGATTTATTCTTCTATGTAGATATGGCTTTTTGCCTAGATGATTTTTCCAGGAGAAAAATTTAAGATTCTACAAACCCATAATGGGGGGAGGGAGAAGGGGAGTTTCACCAACTCTTTTCAACTTTGTGTCAGCAACACAGGTTAAGCTGGATTGATTCTACCAGTATTAAAACATTTCGGCTCGTTTGATGGATGAGTATTTCATGTAAAAGCCTTCAGCTTCTAAGCTGGATTTTCCCTTTGCAAGGCAGATTTATTCGGATGCCTGAGGATCTCGTGTGATCTCAATCCCTCATTTATAGTTATCTTTTGTTGCAGTGGCCTGTACATGTCCTGGAGGAGGCGCTCCATGGGAGAGATAAGATCATGAGGCGCTTTCCCAGGGAATAGTTTTGGTTTACATTGACTGAAAGCAGAATGTTTCTGTAAATGGAAGCATTTTGATCTGGGTTTTTTTATTTTTTTATTTTTTTTTTTTTAAATTCTGACAAAACAAATATGTGATGGGAAGGGGGAAAATAAAAACAACAACAACAAAAAAACCAACTGGAAAAGGACAAATAGATTTTTATACTTTGACTTCTAGGGTGGAAACATATTTCGAAAGATCTGTTTCCCAAGGGGCAGAGATTTGGATTTTACAGAGCTATGCTGGTTTGTAATCAAAATAAAACACTTGTACTACAAACTTTAATCAGCTGTAACAAACAAATTTTCTTCCCACCACCACCATCCAAGAAAAGCTTGGGGTTTTAATACCAGATTTACTTTGGATTAACAATTTAGGCCTCTGCTTCTTCAGCTAGTACCATCTAAGTAGACTCACAACAAACCTGTGTTGCCAGATGAGGGCCTATTTGCCATTAAAGCTGTGGCCTTTTGTTTTGTTTCTAGTTTGTTTCTCCTTGAAGTTTTAACATCTCTGTTTAAATTGGAATTGTAAAGTAAAGAAACTTTAGGAAAAGTTGGAGACAGTCTTTATCAGACAAAAAATCCACCTGTTAACTTTGTGTGCAAATCTTTGTTTAAAAGCTCCATTTAAAAAAAAAAAAAGTTAAAAGCAAAAGTTAAAGTTTAAAAGTATGGCTTTAACAATGTCGAGCGTTTTTTTTTAGATTTGTCAGAAAAAAAACACCAGACTTCTGGACTAATTTAATGTCAGAGTTTAACAGACAAGTTATTTCCTTCACTTCCTTTTTTTCCTGTTCTACTTATGTATTTGATAGGTGTTTTCTTTCAAAGTTGTGTAAATCTCAGCAGTCGGATCACTAAAACAGCGTTAAATGCTAACTGTGCATTCACAGTTTTATAACCTATTTATTCCCTCAGGGCCCTCATATGGTGACCGAGGAACTACACTCCATCAGCTTTGAAACACAGGTCTGCCTGTATGGATTGACTATAAATTTGGAAGTGAGTATTCTAGCCAGATATTTGGGGGCAAGAACAAAAGGCATTTTCCAACAGCGTACAGAATAACAACCACGTTGGGCCAGACCACAGGTCCATCTCTCCTAGATGCTATCTTCAGCAGTAACCATAAGCAGATGCAAGATTACCAGAACATTCTGGACAGAAGCATACGCTTCAGGAAGGATGAAGGGGATTAAAAAAAAGCATAACACAGCACTGACACTTTCCTCGGCAGCACTGACATACCCCATTTGCTTTCCACCAGACCAGCTCTTTGCCTGTGGTGATGATTTCCAATGTCAGCCAACTACCCAACGCGTGGGCTTCTATTATTTGGTACAATCTGTCAACCAACGATCCTCAGGTAGGTCTTCAGTATGCAAGTACTGACTTTGTGCGTTTTCACACTTCTACTATTTGGTTACCAAATAAATATATTCATTAGGAAAACGCTGTGTTTCCCTCTTAAACTGGCCTTCTTTTCTTCACATATACTGTTATCAACATCATACTTCAATGCTGTTCACTTTATCTTTTGTTCCCTGCCCAGAAATAAAACCAGATGCATGCTCAGCCTTCCTTTTTGTAGGCTAAAGTAGTAGTTCTTAAACTAAGGGAAGGTGATAGCCCTTCTCCACAACGTTTCTAGTTTGAATTTCTAGTTTTGTATGTGGACCAGAAGTGTAAGTGGTACAAAATAATTATACTAGTAAAATTCAAAAGTAGTTGTACAGGTGGGTCTGTGATGTATTTAAGTGCTGCTTTCCCTCATGCATTTTATAGGAGCTGGTGCTTTCTATGAAGGTTACGAGTGTCAAGCAGCACCTTCTAGTGGCTCTAACCATGAGCAAAAGCAGAATTATTCTCTCAGGCTCCAGCTGGCTCAGCACATATTTTAGATTCAGTCACTGTTACTGTATTTGTAGATTGTAGAATAGTGCTTTCTGCAGTTCTCAGGCTTTCAATCCAGGATTAGTGGCAGTCACGGAGATGTTCAAAGGAGAGAAGGGGTGAGATAGTTTACCATGGAGTATGCCCAAGAATGATGGCAGGCCAGCTGACCAGCAGCCTGGACTTCCTTATCACTCTGTGATACTCCAAAGAGTTTTTGCGTAGTTTTCGGTATGTTTGTTACATGTACAGTCCAGAAACCGAATTAAAAACTAAGATGAGCCAAACAATTCAACAACATATCACTGTATGTGTTTGTAATGGTGTATGATTTCCATGCACCAGATGTATTACAGTGATAGTATCTGAATTTATTGGACAGGATTTAAGCACATTTTTGCTGTCTTAACATACAATACTATCAGAAGCATAGCAAGGTATTTTATCATCCAAGATGTACACACAGACTCACTCTCTCTTGGAGTGTCCCCCTACAACTCTCCTCAGGCACCTGAGTGGACCTTGCTGGGTAGCTGAAGGTGGGAGGGCCAGCACATATTTGCCCCAATGTACACCCCCCATACACCTCATTTTTAACACTTCCAGATTCTGCTCAAGTACTTGCACCCTTCTTTTACAGCCTGCAGTGTACTTCATGGTTGCTTTCTAAACAAAGCGCTAATTCTGTTGCAGAATTTGTCTTTCTTCAACAATCCCCCTGCTGCCACTTTAAGTCAGCTCTTAGAAGTACTGAGCTGGCAATTTTCATCGTATGTCGGTCGTGGACTCAATTCTGAGCAGCTCAACATGCTGGCAGAGAAACTTATGGGTAAGTGTGTAGAAATATACAGATTTTATTTGCTTTTGAGCTCTTATATTTGATAGTTACAGGTAATGACTTTAAGCATGACCTCCACTTCCAGAGCTGACTTCAAATATGCCGCATAACCTTTTTTTCTTTAAAGAAAAGCACGCGTCAGCTTATTCTTACCACAAAGTGATTCAACTTCTGAACTTCCAGGCTGCTAAACCGAAGAAAGAGGGCATCAGAGTCACACTGAACTGTGATGTTATTTTGTTTACTTAGCAAGTAATTATCGCATGCATCTGAAATCAAAAGGAAGTCTTTCTGCTTGCTTGTGGGGTTTGGCTTGGGTTTTGTTTCATTTTAAGTACCCGTCCCTGTGGGTTAGTTCTGGGACCCCTCCTTCACTAGTGACAGCATAGCAAAGAGGCCCTGTGACTTCAGCAAGATGAACTATTGAACACTTTGATCTGACCATCCCCCAGAAGGGAGAGGCCTTAGGGAAAGCTGGCAGAAGAAAAGAAAGCTTTATCTGTTTCTGGAGAAGAAACAATTATAAGATCTACTGTGAGCTGTAAGAAGCTCTAAGCTGAGGCTGTAATGATACCTTTACTGTTGGGGCAAGAACAGAAGCATTTGTCAAAAGACTGGGGGAAATCTTTAATTTTATTGCTTTCAAAGCTGGGATGCAAAGACTGGCTTGCCTTTCTGATGGTTCCCTGGAGATTTCTTGCTTAGTGGAGGTAGTAGAGTTGAGAGGGGCCATTGTAAATCAGCCAGAATCGTAAGAAATTAAAACCAGATTGTCTTAAAATATGGAAGCTCAAGATACAGTGAAGGCCAAGAGAGGTAATACTTGAGCTAAAAACCGAAACTGAGCACAGAGCGTTGCAGAAAAGGTCCCAGGCTACTTTAGGCAAATATTCTCAAAACTACCATTGTCGTCTGCTTCAAAAGGATACAGAAAAACTGATCTACAGCCCCTTAACATGCCCCTCTCAATCGCTCTCCAAGTCTGCATATACTGTACTTTTCCCCCACCCCCCCCAACTGTACAGACATCAAGCTACATCTATTTCAAAACTTCAGAAAAATAGTCTTACCGTTTGGGTTGTTTGTTTTTGTTTTGTTTCCCCCCCGCCCCTCAGGACAACAAGTCAGTTACAACGATTATCAGCTATCCTGGGCAAAGTTCTGCAAGGTACAGTTCCAAAAGTAAAACTAGACTCTTCTTTCTCTTAACACCCACATGCGTGCCTAACTGTCTCTCTGATGCCACTGGTAAGATTCCCACTTGCCATGTGTGGGACTTGTAGCCCAGCACAATCACATTCATTGTAAAAATTTAACTAGGAAAATAATATTTCCAGAAGTTTAAAGCTTGGGCTAAGAGATCTACTTAGTTACATTGCTACAGAGATCACAAACAGCCATTATAGTGTGCCCTATATATTTCTGTAAGTGATAATAGATTGTGCTATCAAAGCGTACAATGCATTTGTCATAAAGCAGACAGTAATTTTTTAATCTGCTCAGTTATGACCTAAATTATTTCAAGTCAGTTGATACATTCAGTAACGCTGATGAGGAACAGGCAAGTTACTGGGAAAGAAGGGTAAACCCATTTTATTCATATTAACTACATTATTTAAACAAGTACAGAATCTTGAAAGGCAGTTCAACTTTCTCATCATTTCTCTCAAAATGCAATTTCATATCCAGGAAGAAAAAAAATGAATGTGGTTTATTTTTCTTTTTTACTTGAAAACGACGTGCTTCCAATGCATATCTTAAAAATCAATTGGGTTTATGTCAGGCTGAGAGAGACATGTTACTCAAAACAGCAGTTCAAGTTTGTCATTCTCACTTGAACTAGATTATTTTTAAGAAACTGAGATAGCCATGTCATCTGGATGTTGGGTAACAACACTTTCACAATTCTCTTCTTGTGTGTTTTGTTTCTGTTTGTGTTTTCTGTTTTGTTGTGGTTTTTAACCATTAGGAACATTTGCCTGGGAAGTCTTTTACCTTTTGGGTTTGGCTTGAAGCCATCCTGGACTTAATTAAAAAACACATTCTTCCTCTTTGGATTGATGGGTGAGCAACAAGGAAACTGCTGTATACTGATCTCTGTCTGGTTTGTCTTTTTTCTTTACTAATCTCAGTTTTAGCTATGCAGAAGAGGATTTGCAGAGTTTAATACTTGTCTCCCTCTTCCCATTTATAACTTTTGAAATTTTTTGCCAAAAGGGAACACCATTGAATCTCTTAGACATGCAGGTTTAGATTTATTTATCAGTTCTGTCTGTGTACAGTCAAGTTCTGTGATAAATTTCATCATGCTTCGTAGTACTTTGAGCTCAATGCCACACTTCACACGTAAATCTCGTGAAGCTTTTGTCGTAGTTACAAGACTTTATAAAGCTTTTGTAACCAGACTTATGAACACCTATATAAAGTTTGGCCAGATGCATTGCACAGATCGAAGTCTGTATTTTTCTCCAAAAAATAAACCCATGATTTCCTGTTACATTTCAGGTACGTAATGGGATTTGTAAGCAAAGAGAAGGAACGAATTTTGCTCAAAGACAAGACACCAGGAACATTTTTATTAAGGTTTAGTGAAAGCAATCTGGGTGGAATTACCTTTACTTGGGTGGATCAGTTAGAAAATGGTAAGTATAATTTAAAAAAAAAAAAAGTAACATAAACCTCAAACTCTGCAATACACCTGTAATACAGGAGCCACAGTTTCTTTGGTTTGAAAGTAAAATTCATGTATGGTTTTGCGCAATATACAAGTATCATATTTACTGAAACACAAATCAAGAAAGTCTACCTCTCGTTTTGTTATATTAACTATATAAGCTCATTAGGAGGTGTACTGACTTACTGCAGGCTTTAAATTTCTTTCCACATGTTCATACGGTGGTATGAACTGGCAAAACCCACACCAGTGTAAACTGCAAAACAAAGGCAAAAATACATTCCAGCTGCAGGTGCTGACCTACCAGTTATCAGTGGTTATGGTGCCTTTGTATTTTTACAGGAGACATAACCTTTCATTCGGTGGAACCCTATAACAAAGGTCGCTTATCTGCACTGCCTTTTGCCGACATACTGCGCGATTACAAAGTTATTATGGCAGACAACGTTCCTGAAAACCCTCTGAAGTATCTGTATCCAGACATTCCCAAAGATAAGGCCTTTGGCAAACACTACAGCTGTCAGCCAAATGAAGGTTGGGCTCCATTTCTTTATTTATGCTTTCTGCAAAGCAGCTGCGAAGTCAAGGGGCAATTTGAGGAACGTGGGGAGAGGACAAAGAGAACAGATTAAGATGCCACCTTTAATCGGCATCTTCAAGAGAACCGTTTTAACACATGTCTACCCTTTAGACAGCTTCATTTTGCAAACATATCCCTGGTCTCAACAGGTTACATTAGAGGTTATGATAATACTTAAAAGAAGCTAAGAAACAGAACTTAGGGTAGAAAGAGTCAAAAAATAGGATTTTTTTTCCCGACTGATGCATTACAAAATTCAGTGCTTGGATGTTCAAAGGAGATGAAACTGAAAAGTCATCCTGCTTATCCACATCGTAATTGTGTTACACTGAAGCATGCTCTCTCTTTAATTTCAAGGATATTCTGTATTTTCCAAACAGCTTGGAAGACCTGCTTTATTTCATTTCATTCGGTGGAAACCTGTAACAAAGGTCACTTATCTGCGCTGCCTCTTGCCGGCATACTGCGTGATTGCAAAGTTGTTACAGCAGACAACGTTCCTGAAAACCCCCTGGCAACTGCACTGGAAAATACAAAAAGGCTAGACAAGAATGGCTCCTAATACCTTCAAGGCCCATACTCTTTCTTGTCCAAGTTACAAGTCAGGCCATTTTTAGATCAAACTCACTCTCTCTCAAAAAAGCCCTCAAAGCCTCGATTTATTTAATAAATACACATTCTTCTGGACTTTCAGTATAAAACGTTACAATTCCATTTGCATTCAAATTCCTACACTACTCAAAAATATTGGGAGCCTACAAATGTTTTTCCTTTGCATTTTAATTCAGTGGACTTTGCTTAACGCTCCAGTCCTCTAAAAATGTATGTATATACTTAATTTCATGCAAAAGACACTGTTGAAGTTGTATCTGTAGAGATAGAGCTCCATGCAAGCATTTGCAGAACTGAAGTCTAGAGGGTCAGAAGTACTAAGCTTGTGGAGTTAGAGTATATTTGCTTTTGAAGCTCTAAAGAGATCTCTTTCATCTGTTGTTGTATTCTGAGATAGTGATTCATATCAAGGAAGCACAGTCAGTTATGTGACTAAGACCTGAACTCAAAGACTAATCTCAGGAATTCCCCTCATTTTTATGGCTGGTTATTTAAGCATAAACAGGGACATTTCTTTTTTAAAATATATTATGGTCTGCAGCACTTAAAGCAGATAATAAATTTCAAATAAATAATAAAATTACTAAGCAATATTTAATTTCTCTAATATTTATTTTTAGTCTCAAAGCCCTCAGATGGAGGAGGCAAAGGTTACGTTCCTTCTGTATTTATCCCAGTCTCCAAAATGTGAGTATCCTTATAGATGTATTACACTTCAAATGTTATTTTTATTAAATTTACATACTGTTTCAAATTTTTCTGCCTCCTTCACCCATTCAAATAGTTTGGGATAGCAACACATTGCATGTTTTTATGTCGCCAAGGACTACTAAAGACAAGAGAGGGAAGTAAAGACCCTCACTTCTACAGCACTTTTCCCATCCATGTGGCAAAACATTTGTAAAAATCAAATGCAGACTTTGCGGTACTCTGATCTACTTATCTTTCACCGTCATCTTTTGCTCTCCAGCCGCTCATATTAGAGAGTCAGGTTCATCCTCTCTCTTCCCTCGCTCCTAATCTCCTACATTTTTAAATGTATACCAATGCTTACAAGGCTACCAGCAAGCCCGAGTACAGGCTTAACTAACTTAGTAAGATTCACCATATTCCACTGCTATGCATGAATTTAGAGGGATTTAGCTTGCTTTTAAGATTACTTTTGTGGGTTTTTGTTTTGTTTTTTAATTTTTCTTTTTTTTAAGCTTAAATGATTCTACAGATCCACATTCTCCATCAGATCTTCTTCCAATGTCTCCAAGCGTTTATGCTGTGTTGAGAGAACACCTGAGTCCCACAGTGATTGAAACTGCCGTATGTCGTAAACTTTTCCATTCATAACTTAATACTAACCAAGTGGGATGTGTATGAAGCTGGTTATAAAAATGCTGCTTGTACAATTATAAAAAAATTAGAGCTCTTTCATTACTTGCTGTATTACATTCTGAAATGATAGTGCAGGCATTTCCTATTCTAAATGGGACAGGATGCTGCAAGCATACTTGGAAGCACTGTGTTATATAAAATTGTCTGACACACTGGCCAATGAACCATGAATGTCATAATTCAAAGATCCCAGAGTTCTTGCACGAACAAAGCCTTTACACTGACAAATACATAATGATTACACTAATTCTGTAGAGAGCAAAAAGGACTTGACTTGCTCAGGGAAGCTGCACAAGGAACATAACAATTTCCATTTCAGCAAACTTGCACAACTTTTCCATGCTGCAATTTTATACATGGGGTACCAAAGTGAGAAATTAAAAGTCAACTAAAACATTTTTAGCAAATAAAACTAACATTCACTAAGTATATAGAAAGACTGGGAAAATACTGTACCAATATCCTATTAAAAATATTTTCCTCTTTTGCTTATTGACTAGAAATAGTGTTCTGAATCCTTGTGGCTTATAGTACTTGGAGCAGTGATGTATACCCTCTGAGGATTTGTCCAGCAGATTTCTACCAGGAAACGTGGCAGTGGTTTGGGTTTCAGAGATTTAAAAGAAAACCTCCTTTTAATACTAGCTCTTAATTTTCTGAATGTTCAATGATTTATTATCTTAAGATGGTTATCTATTTAAAAGCCTGTCATCTCCCCTTCAAATGCCTCCCTGCAAACACTCCTCCTCACTCACAAACAAAACAAAACTAAACCAGAATCCTGACTGTCAATGATTGGAAGCACAGTTAAACTTTATATGCAAAGAGAGGAGTTCTTTAATATACACCAAGCCAAAGATTTGTTCAAGAGCAAAATATCTTTTTTTGCTTCCTCGCCTTTTTCTCTGATAGCGCTCATGATGAACTACTTCTTCAACTAAAATTGAAATACTAGCCTGAATGAAAATTCTGCATTTAAACCTACCACACCCAATCTGAGACACGTCCCTTCTCATTTGTTGTTTGGTTTATACATATAAAAGCAGTCCTGACCTTCTCAACTGCACTTCTGAACAACATATGCATTTACATTTCCCAGAGTTCTGGCAGTAAAAAGAGTAGTTGGCTTCACTTTTGCTTATCATCAGGCTCCAAACGTTTTTTGCTTCTTTTAGCATGCATAGTAATTCTCAAACCAGCTCTGTTAGGAGCTTCCAAACAAGCTGTGACCATCGCCATCTTTTGCAGTCACAGCCACACACAACGAACGTGCTGGTGATGAATTGGGAGAGTCAAATACAAGCATGTTGTGGTTTTTAAGTGTATTAGAGAAGTGGTTCGCTGCTGCTAGATGGTAGGTGAATTTCTGGAGGCTCTTACTAGAAGTGTTTTCAAGTTCTGCTAGAAATTGGGGAAAAAATAGTTTGGGAAGATTTTTAAAGAATTACTTCCTTCTTCCATTCTATTTAACTTGCCAGATGGAAGCGAGGAAAATGTGGAGGTTTTTTATCATCCCAAATTCACACGACAATCTACCCTGGTGAAGAGCTGGCCAAGTACAGCAAGCAGACAATCTGCATTATTAAAGCAATACTTTTTCTCCATGAGATGCCAATAAAAAAAAAAAAAAAGCACTGTGTGACATGCAGAGAACAAGAGTGAAATCTGCAGCAGGACAAAGTACCCTACAACTCAGTAACTCAGTCTCAGCAAGATATACTTTCTGCAGTTTTGTTGAATTCCCTTCTATCGGCCCCCTCTCCAGATTCCCCTACCCACTGGGAAAACAAGACTCCAGTAAGAGCCTTGCTTATACATACCCATAGGCTGCAAGAACCACAGAAGTTTATATAAAAATATATACCATTTTCATTGCAGCTGTTTCCCACACAGTATTTCCTAATAAGCATGCCTATATTTTGCGAAGAACTAGAAACGAGATCCTCAGATCCTTACCAGTTTGGATTAGATTGTCAAAATGACACTGCAGCTACCTTGAGCCAGAGGAGGTTTCATCTGCAGTTATTTTTGAGTGAAACGCGCTAACTGCCATGAGACTAATCTTTTCCTTCTTTTCTTCTAGCTGAGTTCTCCTTACTCAACTGACTGAAGTTTACATACCAGAAAAATTAGTAATCATGTGAACATTGGTTAAAGATGCAGTAATATTTATTTTTTTTTGTCATCTTTGTAAATCAGCATTTCCCAGAAGCCATTATGATGTTATTCTTGGGCCTCCTTCTGTTATCAATACGATGTAAACCAGGAATCTTTCCCCTAGGGATTACAAGTAGTCGCCTGCAAGTCAGAATTGCTGTCCTCACTGACAAAAGGCTGAATCCTTTCTGACTTGGAGGTCATTTGACTTCAGGGGGTTCCAACAGAGATAAATTTTACTTGCAGAATTAATGTCTATAGAATTGCTGTAAATATGAGAGTATAAGAACAAAATGTTTTGCTTCTGAAAACAGCATATAAGGATAACTAAAGACATTCATGTGTTTGGGGAAATTATAAGATAGATAGATAGATAGACATATATTAGGATTATAATGTTAAATAGTTTATTTTTAATAACTATCTTATATACCACTGGTTTAGCTTCTATATTAAAGCAAAGATTCTCATCCCCCTGAGTTCGGATGTCCCGTAGGTGGCCAGGGTTTGCTTTTTTCCCCCCGAAGATGAACTACCTTCAGCATAGATTTTTATCTGCCACCACAGCAGAAGTTGTGGAAGGCAGCCAAGGCTGGGAAAAGACAGGAGTTCCAAAAAGGAAATAGGCACAAGACTTGTGGTGTCAAAAAAGCTGCCTTCATTTTGCCACTGGAAGAGAGGGTTAGTAAAACTTACTCCTCTCACAAAGTAGTTGCCTAAGTAAATCTATTTGTGCATGAAACACTCAGATACACAGAAAGTCTACAAAGAAAAAATCCTGATCTGACAGAGTTTGGATATATCTGGTAAACAGGCTGGGAAGTGCAGTTTTTGAAAATAGTTACTGAAGAGCTGCAGCATTTGCTGACCACTGGGCAATTTCTGCTACATGCCTGTCAGAGACTCATTTAAGCAGAATAACTAGGTTTTGTATAAATGATAAATTGCCTTTTTAAATTTTTTTTTTTTTTTTCCTTTCAGGCACCATTTAGTGCTGGGTTTGGGTTAGTTCATTTTGTTGTTGGGGTTTTTCCTCCCCAATATTATCCCTAAAACCTCTGCTAATAGAATAATAAACAAGCAATTCCAAGGCCACTGTATTTCACATATGCAGGCTCATTCAAGATTTAATTCTTGTCTGCAGAATACATGGCTAATGCATGCAAAGTTCTTAAAAATACATACAAACACTTGAGCATTTGCACCTTAGAGTCTTCTTGAGTAGATACAAATTAGACATCCGGAATGAAAACATAATCTCCTTGAATCAGTGAGACTTGGATTTTACTTTCATTTCTCCATTTTTACTCACTCCTCTCACCCATACTATTGATGTTAGTTGAAAGCAGGTAAATGGAAACAGTAATGAGATATTTCTGTGATACACAGGAGTAGATTTTAAAAGAACAAACACATCTCTGTTCATTAATCTGAGTGATTTAAAGCAAGCTGCAGATAAGTAGTAATTTTCTTTCAGAAAGCATCATATATATATATAATTTTCCAAAACAACAAGAGCAATTGTGTATGTAGTTTGGTAACATCTGTAATTTATACAACCAGTACAAATAAAAACAGATTTTGGCTTAAATTGAATACCTGGACTTCTGTGGAATTTTTTTTCCAACAAAAATAGTCTTGCCTTCTTTTTGTTAATCTCAAGTCTGAGCTACAAGCAGTAACACAGACTTCTAAAGCAGCAAACGTAACTTCGCCTCACATCAGCTATTGTATACCTTTTCATTCTAACCTGTTCTCACGATCTAAATACAAACAAAATGGGGGGTACCCTATGCTTTTGACCACCTAACCCTCAAGAGAAGTACTGTAAAAAAGATCCAGACATGGCATGTGAATCAGTCTTCTCTCTCTTTCCTCCCTGCTCCCTGTGCAATGCCACTGTAAGATTCTCAAGTCTCGACTTGAGCACAATATATTTTATGTTACTGAATAGCATTGTTTTGTATCAGGTTTTGGCATTACAGTTTCTATGATTTTGCAAGGGGTAGGTTTAACATTTAATTAAAAGGCATATTACTTCAAATCAGTTCACTGCTTTACAGGAACACTAGAGTTATTAGTCATTTTCTATAAGACAAATGTATACAGCCTAAGCCTCCTTCAATTAAAAAAGTGTGAATTTTATCCTTATGCCACTATGAACAATAGGGTTCTCTAATGACTAGGGGAGAAGGGAGAAGAGAAAAACACGCTGAAAAGGATGCCTTGGATACTGCCAGAAGAAATGAAACATCTGCTTTTAAGTACTTTTACTAACTGTGCTTATACTTTCACTGTTTTGCAGCAGCAAAGTCAAAAATAACAGCAAAAAAAAAAAAAAAGTCTAATTTTTCTGCGCTTCAGGTCTTGCTGCATCGCTGTAATGATTCTAACTAAACAAATGTAAAAACTGTCAGTTACCTTCTACTATAGCTTTTATTTATAGCCACATTGATACCCACTACTTGGTAGCATTTCATACCACAAAGTCTACTAAACAGACTTCCTATTTACTTGTTTCTCCCATGGGCTAAGAATTGTCTCCTTTATATGAGAAAAGGGGATACAAAGGATACCATAAAGGATCCAGGTATCTTGGGGACCTGCACCAAAACCTGGACATTCATTCTTCTGGTCTTTGTTAATACTTCATACGTGAGGCAAGAGAAAACAAGACCGCATGTGTCCAAGTAGCAGTAACAGTGTCCTTAGCAAATAAGACTGTTGCAAGAAAGGTGACATGAAAGAAAACTTCTTTATCAAGAGATACTCCCTGGGAAGAAATTTCCTCAACTAACAAAACACCAGCAATTATTGAAACACTCAGCTGCCTGGGGTTTATAAACATTCTTGGAAGTTTCTGTGACTTGGATGGGAATCTGGGTTACAGTTCATAAACTAACAATCGCGACTGTGTTTGTACCACCCTTCGTTGCACTTGCACGCCCGCTTTGCTCCCACGCAGCACGGCCGGCTGAGAGAACGGCCACCCGCACAGGCCGCTGCCCCAGCTGTAGCCGCCCAGGGCCAGTCCGACACTACGCCGGCTCAGCGCTTCACCAACAGGACCTGAAAACCGGCAGATTTTCTTACTGCAAAGGCGAGGAGCAGGTCGCTTCCTATTGCTTACAGCTCAGGCCTACTTCTAACCTCCAGTGCTTTCAACCCCGATAAACCGTGACGGTGAGGGAAACCCGCCCAGGCAGGGAGAGCCGGGCCAGACTCCGCCACGCCAGGGGCCGA